ACAATGAGTCATAATAGCTACTAGAATACCAATGTGTCATACTAACTTTTGGAATACCAAGGAGCCACAATAGCTGTGGAAATACCAAGGAACCATAATAGCTGTTGGAATACCAAGAAGCCATAATAGCTGCTAGAATACCAATGTGTCATACTAGCTTTTGGAATACCAAGGAACCATAATAGCTGTTGGAATACCAAGAAGCCATAATAGCTGCTAGAATAACAATGAGTCATAATAGCTGCTAGAATACCAATGAGTCATAATAGCTGCTAGAATACCAATGAGTCATAATAGCTGCTAGAATACCAATGAGTCATAATAGCTACTAGAATATCAATGAGTCATAATAGCTGTTGGAATACCAAGGAGCCACAATAACTTTTGGAATACAAAGAAGCCACAGTAGTTGCAGGAATACCAAGGAGTCATAATAGCTGTTAAAATATCAAGAAGCCATAATATCTGCTCGAATACCAAGAAGTCATAATAGCTGCTGGAATACTGAGGAGTCACAATATCTGCTCAAACAAAGAAGCCATATCTGCTCGAATAACAAGAAGCCATAATAGCTGCTAGAATACTGAGGAGTCACAATAGCTGCTAGAGTACCAAGGATCCATAACAGCTGCTAGATTACCAAGGAGTCATAACAGCTGCTACAATATTAAAGGGCCATTTTAGAGAGTCCTGCATTCAAAAGCAATGGAGCCATCATATATGTCTACATTCCAGCGTGGTGGTACAAAAACAACCAATATTCAGCAGATACATTTTATATATACATATCATATGACATACAGTTTACATTATACTGAACATAAAGCAAGGCAGGATGGTAATAACATGAATTGGAGGAACATGTATCATTAACTTATACATTTTTTTGATCGGGTACTTTACGAATATTGATACTAGCTTTGAGTATCACACATTTAATATCTTGGATTTGCATGTTGCTTTTATATCGTAAGCAACAACAGATGACAGAATATTGCTTAGCATGGAAATATACATATTACATTCAGTGTACATACCATTGACATACAATTAAAATATATATTTACAATTTACAATAACAAATAAAGAGAAACTTTCATATACTATCCGTCTTCACAATGGTCAAGGTATTACGAACTTCATCTGACTGCTATA